AGAGAGAGAGAGAGAGAGAGAGAGAGAGAGAGAGAGAGAGAGAGAGAGAGAGAGAACAGTAAGTCTCCAATCTCGCGGAGAGAGAGGGATCGGTGGAGGGAAGCCGGGATCGGGACATGTTTGTGTTATGCCCCTGTCACGTGAGTGTGCAAATTCGCTTGGTCTTTTGCAGTTGCGCCAACTGCCGGGGCAGTGTCCGGCACGGGTGTGTTGCAAAGATGGAGTCCAGCTGATGTCTGGCCTGTTTTGCAATACGTTTTTGTCATCGTACTCCGCCGCAGCGTGGCTGCGGCAGGTCCACTTGTATATATAATAATAATTTACTATACAGTATATTCAACTATATGGTATAAAAAATTAAGTCATGTGGAATAAAGGCTTCACGGAAGTTCATGCCATTTTTCCGGCAACTTTAATGAAGACGTCCTCCAGGGTACTGTTGGCTATTCCCCAGGCTTGGATGTTGATGTCTGTCCGTGCTACTTCCATGGCACGGAATACATCAGCTAGTTCAACATCCAGGATGGGCAGTTCATATTTCTGCGTACCGCCCTGAGAGTACACTTTCTTTGCCTGAGGCCAAAGAGAGGAAGTGAGTGCTTCCACTGCGGGCTCTTCCTCTGGATTCGAGGTGACCGTGAGAATGTACGACTCAGCGTATCGCACAATCAGCTCCCTTGGATTATCAATGCATGCAAACTCGCCGTCGATGATGATGCCGAGGCGATCGCATAAGACCTCTGCCTCCACCATTGAGTGGGTGGTGAGGATAAATGCACTCCCTCTCTTTGCCTCCTTAATTACACTCCAAAGGTTGTTCCTTGATGCAGGATCCAGTCCCGTACTTGGTTCGTCCATGTAAACCACGAGCGGGCCTCCGATCAATGAGATAGCAACGCTAAGCTTCCTCTTCATTCCTCCGCTGTAGGACTTCACGAGTTTGGACCCAGCGTTGTCTGTGAGGAGGTTCATCTTGTGGAGCCACATGTCCACCTCTTCATTGAGTCGCCGCCCGCGACAGTTCTTTAGCCTTCCATAAAACAGGAGGTGCTCCCTGCCTGTCAAGTTGCCCCAAAGCAAATCGTCCTGCGGGCAAACACCCATCACGGAATGAATGGATGTCATGTCCGTTCGTATATCCATGCCCTCTATGTGAGCCGTACCAGAAGTAGGCTGCAGCAAGCCTACCATCATGTGGATTGCCGTCGTCTTGCCGGCTCCGTTCGGCCCCAACATCCCAAAGCACTCTCCTCTGGCTATCGTGAGAGACATGCCCTTGACTGCAAGCTTATCCGGATTGCCATCTGTCCCCTTGTACACCTTTCGCAGGTCATCACATATGATGGGTGTAATGGAGGAGGAGGAGGAGGAGGAGGAGTAGGGGTTGGAGGATTTAAGCCCCTGGATTGCAGCCTTGGCTGCCTCTCTCTCGGCAGCCACATCCTCTTCCAGTTCTGCCTGCTGACAGGGCTCCGGTGTTGTCGAATGCCTAGCGGCCCACCAAGCACGACACCATCCAGTCCATCCTCCTCCCAGCAGAGGATGTTTTTCAACAAAAGATGGTGTTCTCCTGTTCTTCACTCTCCATTTGCAGTCGAGGAAGAAAAGTGGGTGTCTCCGCACTCCGCTGCCGGACTCCAGCACCTGGTCCATATATACAGCAAGAAGCAGGAAGACCACCCATTCCACTGCCAAAATCCCCAAAACTGCTGTCAATCCATTCCATTCATCGTTCAAATCACTCCACACCATTCCCTTACTCTGCTTAAAGTTTCCCTGACCTAAATAGGACGCGAACTCGTAAATCCCTCTATACAGGGCAAAGGCTGGGAGGAGCTGCATGGCAAAGACCACCCGATGAGATGTGTTGCGGCTCTCAAGAAAGGACTTGTATAGCACCTCAGCAAGGAGTCCTGACGCGACGACATAGAAATAGCTAGTTATGACAGCTATCCTGGTTGAGCAAAAGAAGGCGCTAAGAAAAAAGGCAAAGGCGATCTGGTGGTTGAAGAAGACAAACAAGAACACAAGGAGGATGGAAACATCATTAAGGGTGAAGAACCTTAGCCGAAGGGCAGTCCCCGCCCCTACAAAGATAAGCATGTAAGCAATGGACATGAGAAAGAAGTAGCTATAGCTGATGGTCCAGTAAGCGCTGTCCGACAGACCGTGCATCTTCATCATCATACGAAGTCGCGCTTGTTTCTCATTTACAATAGCGCCCAGGACGACTGGAAGCATGAGCATCAACACCCAGAGAAAGAACAATGGTGCGAATCCAACTGTTATATCAATTACCAACCTTGTACCCCCTTTAGGAAACTCCTTCACAAATAGCAGAGGAATACGTCTAGTCGATGGAGGAGCAGGATTTGTACTCAACGTTTTATCACCTTCAATCACCCAGGACACGAATGCATTGGTCCCCAGATTGAACGCCCGTGCCAATCTCAGAATTGGAGGCACAATGACAATCCAACTCGGCAAAAACGCTGACGTCCGTGCCCAGTCTGTCCAGTCTGACCTGTCGTACCAGACATGCAGGTCAAAGTTGTCCCTTGAACTATTGTTGAAGTCATAAGCAACCATAAGTCCTTTCTCGCTTCCATAAAGGAAAGCGTCCATGCTGCTGCTGAAGCCAGTCGTTTCGATTTGCGAAAAATTCATTCCCGGGCGAACTTCTGCAAGAAAGGAGGTGTTCAAAGTAGGTGGGAAAAATAATGTCCGAGCTTCGTAGCATCCGACTGAGATTATCCGAAAGTCATCGGAGTTGGAACCATTTGGATTTCCAGAGAAACTGGACTCGTTAAACCCCCGGAGACGGGGAGCAGGCAGTGTCACGTACCCTAGCTCCTGCTCGTCCCTCAACGATCCCGGCTCCTGCTCGCCCCTCGATGATCCCCGCTTGCAAGAGCTACTGAGCACAAACAACGTGCCCCCGTCAAGGGCAGCATCGAGAATGGGTCCACTTAGGATGGATTTACGACTCCGGGTGGTAGTAACAGCATCCACTGGAATGCCACGGTTCTTCGTTAAGCCATGCGGACGCAAAGGGAGGATAGAAAGAAAGGTCTCAAGGGGAGTGCCAGCTGCACTGATAGTGTTGTTCAGCAAAAGTCGGCTACCAATTCCTTCGGCCACAGATTTGTCATGTCCAGTGAAGGGAAGGACCTGCGTCATACTGTCAAAAGGATTCTGGCACATCATTAGTGCTGGATTAAGAGGAGGCTCTCCGATGGGGCACCACTCATCCTGGTCTTCTTTGGAGAACTCTATCGCACATACTCCGTCACTGTTACACCCACATTTGAGCTCGAGGTCGTTGACGAATCTATCAGTGGCATTCTGGAGGAGAACCAAGATGATGAAAAACATGGTGGGGAGCAGCACAAGGCACACATTCATACACCCACCACGAGACTGGATGCGCAGATTCTTAAAGCCAAGGGCAGTCACTTGTGCATAGAATGGTGACTTCAGTCCCACCCTTCTCTGTTCAACCAATCTCTCCAAGTCCACTTCGTCCTCCTTCTCACACTTCAGATCCATCTCTCTCTCTCTCTCTCTCTCTCTCTCTCTCTCTCTCTCTCTCTCTCTCTCT